TTTTTTTTTTTTAAAGATTTATTTATTTATTTGAGAGAGCGAGAATGAGAGAGAGAGAGTACATGAGAGGGGGGAGGGTTAGAGGGAGAAGCAGGCTCCTCGCTGAGCAGAGAGCCTGATGCGGGACTCGATCCTGGGACTCCAGGATCATGACCTGAGCCGAAGGCAGTCGCCCAACCAGCTGAGCCACCCAGGCGCCCCTCATTTTGATACACTTTCAAAATATTCTGCTTTTATTTTGAAAATACAATCTAATCAGAATGTGAAAGGAGGACTTTCTAGTCCAAGTTTATTGAAATTACAACAAAATTAGGTATTTTCCTTATGACTGTAGGAATATTGCTGATCTTTGTGTCATTTTTCATATAGATTTGAACAATTAACTATCTGAAAATGCTTATGCTTTGCTGATTAATCCCATTACAAAATCTATTTTTATGGTTCTAATGATTATCTTCATTCTCTCCTACAATGTATAAACTGAAAAGAACAAAAGAGTCTCCCACAAAAGTAAAGAAGCAATAGAGAATTTTTAACTCTTGAACCAATGGTACACTTAAAAATTCACTTTCTCAGGTCACTGCCCACATTCTCCACCAAAAATACAAATAAATAACCCTCACCAAAAAAAATCACTTTCTCTTCTTACTGCCCCTTAATCTATTTTCTTATGGTTCAGTAAAATACATTACTTTATTTCTTTGCACACATAGTCTCTGATCACATGATTACTACATCTCATTTTAGTAAGTTCTTAAATCTCAATCCTAGGTATGTTTTCAGTGCCAAATTTCTTTGTCACATAAAAATTATATAGAATTCTATAGGAAGCAAAAGACATGAATAGCACAGTCCAATATGGAAATTGCTGTATAGAAGCATTAGGAAAGATTACCAGTGAAGACTGAAAAAAGTTCCTCTGGGATTTAAGGGCTCTGCACATTGGCTCTTTCCATTCCTAAGATTTTAGTATAGACCTTATTACATTAACAGATAGTTTCACCTATCACAAAAGTTCCTGAGGAAACCAACCTGGGGGTGCCTGGCTGGCTCAGTGGGTAGAGCATACAACGCTTGATCTTGGGGCTGTGCGTTTGAGCCTCACATTGGGTGTAGAGAAAACTTAAAAAAATAAATAAATAAAATCTTGTGGCGGGGGGTAGAAGAAGAAGAAAAGAAACCAACCTGACTCCTATTTCCATGGTTAGGACAGAAACATTAAGAGGTAAAAGATTGTTACCCTCCAAAAAATTTTCTTTTTCATTTGACTGTGATGGGCAATTTTTTCCTCTTGTGATAAATTCATAAAATCAAAGTTCTAGTAGATTTTTATCTTAAGTTTTATTTATTTATTTTTAGTAATCTCTACACCCAATGTGGGGCTTGAACTCACAGCCCCCAGATCAAGAGTTGCATGCCCTGAGCCAGGCAGGGTCCCTGGTAGATATTTAGCATATCTGGAATCCTACTACATCCATGCTGTTGTCTCTCAAGTACTTCCGATTGTGTCCTCTCTTTGGTACACTAGTCTAACTGCCTACTATCTAATTAACTTTGACATCAGTCAATAAAGCCTTCTCTATGCGTAGGACCTAAAACTGACTCTACCAGAATCTGCTTCTCAAAAAAGCAACACAGAATAAGTTGGCTTTTCTCATTGTCACCACCAATATCCCTTCTATCAGGTTCAAAATTTAGAATCATCTTTACACTTTAGTTTTCTCCTTATTCTTCAATAATCCCTTTATCTAATCAGTAAGCAACTGATATTTTTGTGTTCATTTTTCAATCCTATATTCTTACCCTATTTCAGGTGTTTATCATTTCCCATTTATGTTGCTGTAGTGGCTTCTTCCTCCTTTTTGACTCTAGGCCCTCTAAGTTTGCCAATCCATTTTTTTTATACTGTTTCTGATGAATCTTTCATCAAAAAAAGAAAAACCTGCTATATCATATTCAAAATCTTATTCAAAATCCCACTTAAGCTCATTGGCATTGTTGACCTTGAAAATAAAACGGTCAGTTATTTTACTAGCAAAATGGGTTTTTTCAGAAATAGCAGAGGAATTGCAATTTGAGACATGCAAGCTATGACAACCATTGACAAATCAGGAGAACAAAAGAGATGAATGTTACTTTATAGAGAAAAAGGAGGAAGCTGGGAGGGGCTGCTTTGAACAAAGATCCATTTGAGGCAAGTGAGAGTTCAGGGTGGTGATGGTTTCTCATCAGCTGACTTGTGGCAGTTTCTCATTGGCTGGGCTATTGCTGGGCAAGGAGAAAATCTTCCTCCCTCTTGCTGGGGTAGTAAAGTAGGCTTCTTTTGAGGGTCTGCAATTGACCTCAAGTTGATAGGGCATGAGCCCTTCCTCTTCAGGCCTCCTTACTCTATTTTAAATCTTCATTCAGTTACAAAGCATTTAGCCAAAGGAGTTGAAAACTTATGTCCATGCAAAAACCTGCACATAGATGTTTATAGCAGCTTTATTCATCATTGCCAAAACTTGGAAGCAATTAAGATGTCCTTCAGTAGGTGAATATATAAACTGTGGTACATCCAGACAATGGCATATTATTCAGTGGTTAAAAAAAAAAGCTATAAACCTGACTCCACCATTGGAGAAAATGTAGAGGAATCTTAAATGCATATTTCTAAAATCGTTTTTTTAAAAATATTTATTTATTTATTTTTAGAGACAGAGAGTGCGAACACAGCAGGGAGGGGCTCAGGGAGAGGGGAAGAATCCCAAGCAGACCCCGCACCTAGCGGAGCCCGACACAGGGCTTGATCCCAGGACCCTGAGACCAGAGAGTCCAGCACCCAACCGACTGTGCCATCTGGGTGCCCAACCAACTATGCCACCCAGGTGCCCCTTAAATGCATATCTCTAAGTAAAAGAAGCCAATGGAAAAATGCTATACACTATACGATTCCAACTATCTGACATTTTGGAAAAGGCAAAACTACAGAGAGAATAAAAAGATCAGTGGCTGCCAGGAATTAGGGATAGAGTGGGGGTTGAATAGGCAGAGTACAAGAGGACTTTTGAGGCAGTGAAAATATTCTGTGTGATCCTGTAAGGTGGATACATGTCACTATACATTGTTTAAGCCCATAGAAGGTTCAACACCAAGAGCGAGCCTTGTAAGCAGTGGACTTTGGGTGATTATGATTTGTCAGTGTAGGTTCATCAGTTGTAACAGACATACTATTCTGGTGGGGGACGTTGATATGGAAGGAGGCTGTGCATGTGTGGGAGTAAGGTATAAGGGAAATCTCTATACCTTCCTTTCAGTTTTGCTATGACCCTAAAAGTTCTAAAAAAAATAGTTTTTAAAAGAATAAACATCAGGGGCGCCTGGGTGGCTCAGTCATTAAACGTCTGCCTTCGGCTCGGGTCATGATCCCAGGGTCCTGGGATCGAGCCCCACATTGGGCTCCCCGCTCGGCGGGAAGCCTGCTTCTCCCTCTCCCACTCCCCCTGCTTGTGTTCCCTCTCTCGGTGTGTCTCTCTCTGTCAGATAAATAAATAAAATCTTAAAAAAAAAAAGAATAAACATCAGTCATTAAATGTTTTAATAGACACATTCTATTCAGAAGTTTTTCAGTGGTTCTTTAATTTCTTAAAGATGAAGGATAAAGTTTCATAACCTAACGTTCCCCAAAATATTTTCCGGTCCTCCTCCATCTGCCCTGGTCTCAATTTATTTATTACTACTCTTGGCGATCCCCTGGTTGTCACCTGTATCTGTCAGTGTCATTCCCATCTATGGGCTGCTTCATTTATTGAGCACTTTCTATGTGCCAGGTATATGCAATACATGCGTTTCCTCATTTAACCTTTGAAACTACCATATGAAGTAAGCACTGTTACCTCAATTTCACTAATGAGAATTAGAAGGGTTAAGTAACTTGCCAAAATCACATATTTTCAGAAATGGTGGAGTCAGGTTTCAAGCTCAGATCTTCTGATTTCACAGAGGTGTTCTTAAAAATTTGGTTCATCTTCATCATTCTATGAATAAGACACTCTTGAGGGTTCTCAGAGGTTAAACAAAAACCAAATCAGTGCCGGAAAATGTTTATCATAGAGTAAGCTCCTTAAAAAATGTATTGAATACATTAAATAAATGTTTTTAAATTCCAGGTAAAAGCCAAAGGAAAGCTCACATTAAATTAACACAAAAATGTGGAGAAAATTAGATTAAATATGGTGGTGAAGGATGTTTGCTGGGGTAGTCAGGGACGCAGCTTCTCTTTAGAAGCTAGATTTGAGTCTAGCCCTAGGGGAAAGGTGGGGCTTGCAGGACATTCCAGCCTTGGGAAAGGGAAGAAATAACCCACAGAAAAGCCCTGGTGTGGTGACTCCAAGGACCTGCACTAGGCTTGTTTGGGAGATTAGGTTGAAGAGAGCAAGTGGGAAGAGAATTTAGAGGACCTTGCATATTAAGAAAAGAAGCTTGAACTTTGTTTCATGATCACTTCAAAGTCACATTATTTTATGGGTAAGGGGGAATATGTTCATAACCACCATCAAATGTTAGACGAAGAAGAGACCCAGTGCTTGCCAGGTGATGCTTCAAGAGAATTGGTCTCCACCTGTATGCCATACCAGTGACTTCTCCATTTTACCTTAATCCCAAATACCTGTTAAAAACCTGTTTAAGTCCTAACAGATGCTTTCAACAAGTGTAGTCTATTTTCTGCAAGTTCTGGGTTCATTCTATTTGGTAATCTAAGTTATTGTATAAATTTATTTCCCTTAATAGTTTGTTAGTTCCTAAGAAGCAGGCCGCAATTGTGTATCTTTTTACCAGGCCTAGAAAGTAATATTTCCTTTAAAACAAGCAAACTAACAACACTGTGAAGTGCCAAGTGCTTTATCTTACAACAAATGTTATGTGGCAGTTGTTTTGTGTATATGCCTCATCTTCCTTGAGGACAGGAATCCCCTTTTTTAACATTTTACAGAGTCAATCACAGTGCCTAACAAATACTGCATCTGTTCAATGAATACAGACCTGAAGATTGATTTTCTTTATGGTTAATGCATGGACCTTATTATACAACGTAAAAGGCCTATCATCAAAATTCTTAAGTTAGTTACATTAAAGAGAGTGGGATAATTAAAGAGAGTGGAATTGTGAGTTTTACACAGATCTTTCTCAATGTCAAGTTATGATATCAAGAACAAAAATGTTACAAATGTATAGTTAAGTCAAACAGGACTTAAGGGTCAGAAGATCCCATGTGGTCCCAAACTTTGGGCAAGTCACTTAACCTATCAGGAGTACAGTTTCCTCACAGAGAAAATGAGGTACTGAAAATGAGGTAGGAAAGACGTTAGGGTTCCAAGTCCACAGCCAAGAAAGAATTCCTGAGACATCTTTGGTGCAAAAAGGTGGTTTTTATTAAAGCAAGGGGACAGGACCCGTTGGTAGAAAGAGCTGCACTGGGATCATGAGGAATGGCCCATTATATACTTTCAAGTTGGGAGGGGGTGAGGGATAGGGTAAGCCTCCCAGGTATTTTGGAAACAAGGTTTCCAGGATACGGAGGGGGTTAGCTATTGTTGGAAAAGGTAATTTATTATTGTTTAGTAAACCCTCAGTCATAAGACCCTTCAGATGTATATCGATGGGTCATATGCTTGGAGGATGATTGCCAACATGTATTTTGCACGGTAGAGATAAAGGAAGTCGCCAAAGGAATTATGTTAGACTTAAAAGATCCCAGGGGCTGGGCTAAGATTGCCTCTTGCCCTTAGCGAAGTATTAACATTGAGGCATCTGAGTTCCTAGAGGAAGGTCACTCTGCCTGTTTCAAGGACTTGTCACTGGGCTGTAGGTAGTAAGGAAATTCAATAATTTTTCTTCTGCCCTTGTTTCCCACATCAGTATGTATAAGCTAGTGCCATGCATATTGCAGACAAATATTGCCAGATTCCTTTATTTCGCCCAACTAAATTTCACCAGGTGCACTTCTTAGAATTTTATGTTGGGTCAGCTAATATAGGAAACACAAGGGAAAGATGACCAAACTGAAATGGGGGACTATGGAGGACTAATTAGATCTGACCAAATTTTCATCAACATCCTTTCACTTGCTTGACTTCGGGTCTCGCTCTTCGCCCAGCCCTCCTACAATACCTGCCCAGCAGGATCGCCTCCATTAGCGCGGGCTGCCCCCACCACTTGGGTGTTTTACCTGCCCACTCGGCCCCCAGACCCCACCATTTGGTGTTTTACCTGCCCACTCGGCCCCCAGACCCCACGTTTTCCAGGCTCTTGAACCCTCCCTCGCCTAGACGAATTTCACCTGCGGAAAATAGGAAAGCCCACCGGCCCGCACGCCCCTCCCCAGAGTCGGCCTCCCGCCGCCCAGGATCCCCCGCCCGAGCCACCCGCGCCACTCCGGCGCCCCGCCCCGGGCGGGGAGGGTCGGTGCTGGGGAAGGGCCTGCCAGGTGAGGCGCGGTCACCCTAGGCCGCTCACTTCCGCCCAGGTGAGGGAGGGCCGACGTCGAGCCCGCCCGCCCGCTCGCTCGCTCCCGAGCCTCCGCCGGACCAGGTAAAGCGGGGGTCCTGGCTATGCGGGCGCGTGCAGTGCGGGGTGGTAGTCCCTGCGTCCCGAGGCCGGCCGGGAGCAGCTCTTCTTCCTGCGTGGGAGCCCGCCTCCCCTGCCCCCGGCGCGCTTTCCGCCCGCCCTCTGGGAGGAGGTGGACGCGGGAGACCCGGGGCGCCGCTGGGCGCCCGGCCAGGCCCACGGAGGGTGCGGGAGGCAGTCCTCCGGCGTCCGGCCTGGGTGACCGCACCGTGGCCCCCACCCCCACCCGGCTCCGAGCAGAGCTCGCGGAGGCCGCCGGCCGCGGAGCCGCCCAGCCTCGGCAGGCCCTGCCGGCCCTCAAATCTCGGCCCACTTCTGTTCCGGGATTGGCAGGGATCAAATTTTGCACCCAGATCGGTGCCTGCGCTTGGCCCCAGAGCTGGGCGGAGTCTTTTCCTCTGGTGAGGGTGAGAGGGGTGACCAGGTGGGGGCCTGCCACGGGGGCCCGGAGAAGGACGGGGTTCCAGATTTATCTGAGAGGACGACTTGGCTCCGGCCCCACTTGGGGCCGGGGGGGGGCGGGGAGCACATAGCCGAGTTCCCCGGCCGGCGGTCAGGCTTGGGCTCTGCTGGCCTCACTTTTTAGATGGGGAGGATCAGATGGAAAGTACTGTGGCCTCCAGGTTCTGGGGATATTGCTGGATTCCTGCTTTAAGTCAAGCTCAGGAAAACATTTTCAAATCCCCCCACCCCCGAGAGCCCCAACCCTCACGGCGCACCTAGGAGGTGTGCCAAGTTAATCTCCCCCAAGAGTGTTCATTTGGCAGTTTGTCATATCTCCAGATGGCTCTTATCACTTTGGATTCGAAATTAGTTGTTTACTGGTTTGTCTCTGCGATTGAGAGCGTTCGCCTTTCGGGGCCCCATCTCTTAAGTTGCTTCTCAGGTGTGTTTAGAGTCTGGCCATTGATAGGTGCGCAACAGACAAGTGTTTATTAATGAGGAAACCTTCTGGAGACCTAGAAGAAAAAAATCTCAGTTACGCGGAGAATGGTTGATACCACATTCTACGCTAAGCTCTTATTGACTGCCAATTCATTTGTACACATCTTTTTTTAGAAAAAAGCTAGTGGGCGTAAAAACGCAAATTGCTTCATTGTGCAGTACCAGGAAAAGTTAGGGGGATTGTGACTTTTAACTAAGATGAACTTGATGTTCCTAGGCCCCTGCGGCCTATATCAGGATTATTAAAAATTTAAGATAATGAAAAAGTTAATAAATATCGGAGCTGGAAGGTACTTTATGAGATAGAATTTGTAAACTCCGGTCTGAAGAGATTTGCTAATTGAGATCCTGTTAACAGTCACATAAAATGACCTTGGCATTAGAATAATAGTTGCGTTTAAAATGGAAAAATTGTATTAAGCTCTTATCTGTGTTTAGAGGCCTTAGTACATTTATTTTATTATTTTTAAAGTAATCTCTGCCCCCAAGATCGGGACTCAAACTCACCTCCTGGAGAGATTGTTACATGCCTCTACCGGATGAGCCAAACAGGCACCTCTCAAGGCCTAAGTTTAAGTCGTGTCTTAATATTTTTTTTTTTTAAGATTTTATTTATTTATTTGACAGAGAGACAGTGAGAGAGGGAACACAAGCAGGGGGAGTGGGAGAGGGAGAAGCAGGCTTCCTGCCAAGCAGGGAGCCTGATGCAGGGCTCGATCCCAGAACCCTGGGATCATGACCTGAGCCGAAGGCAGCCGCTTAACGACTGAGCCACCCAGGTGGCCCTAAGTCGTGTATTAATATTAAACTATAAAGCTAACCTATATTCATTGTAGAAGATTGGAGAAAACAAACCCACCTACCCCTGAAAGTAACCACTAATAAAATGATGGTATCAGTATTCCTTAAAAAGGGAAACCTGTGTATTTTCCCATAGTGAGTTCACTGCTAGAACTTTGTGATTCTTAGAGGTTCAGCATTCAGTAAGCCTTATAATTGCATTTTTACTTAAAAACATTTAGTAATGGTCCTTAAGCTAAACAGCCAAGTAGTTTGAATTTACGTGCTTTGTTTAACAAAAATACATTAGGTTGGGGAAGCCAAAATGGGGTTTAATTTGTAAAGATTTTGCTCACCTTGGTAGTAAATTTTTGAGACAACTATTCCACCTTTATATTTGAGATTGCTTGACCATTGCTGTTTTTTTTAAGACTGATTTTATTTATTTGACAGAGACACAGCGAGAGAGGGAACACAAGCAGGGGGAGTGGGAGAGGGAGAAGCAGGCTTCCCGCCGACCAGGGAGCGCCTGATATGGGGCTCTGTCTCAGGAGCTGGGATTATGACCTGAGCCGAAGGCAGACGCTTAATGACTGAGCCACCCAGGCGCCCCGCTATGGTTTTTTCATACTCAGATGTTTTTGTGTAGATTTGGATGCCTTTTTTATTTTTACTTATTTTTTTAAAAGATTTTATTTATTTATTTGACAGAGAGATAGCGAGAGAAGGAACACAAGCGGGGGAGAGGGAGAAGCAGACTCCCTGCTGAGCATGGAGCCTGATATGGGGCTTGATCCCAGGCCCTGGGACCATGACCTGAGCCAAAGGCAGACACTCAATGACTGAGCCACCCAGGCGCCCCTGGATGCCTTTTTTAAAACCCTCATTTTAAGTTCTGGTGCAAATAGAAATTTAGAGCCTGTCAATACCCTATTTGAGTCACTGGGATAGATCTCTGCTGAAGATGAAGAGCCCACTTACGTTCTGCATTTGTACAACTGTGTAGCCTGTGGAGTTTGGAGACGTGGTATTGGATCCACTTACTACAGAACTTGGCGAGTCACTTAACCCTGGTCCTCTGTTTTCCCATCTGTAAATGATCTACGTTACTGAGCTTCAGGGAGGTTGAAATTAAATCCTTGTTAAGAATGTGTCTTACAGGGCGCCTGGGTGGCTCAGTTGGTTAAGCAACTGCCTTCGGCTCAGGTCATGATCCTGGAGTCCCGGGATCGAGTCCCACGTTGGGCAGGGAGTCTGCTTCTCCCTCTGACCCTCTTCCCTCTCGTGCTTTCTATCTCTCATTCTCTCTCTCTCTCAAATAAATAAATAAAATCTTTAAAAAAAAAAAAAAGAATGGGTCTTACAAACTGAGCCATGATTCTCCTCCTCTTTACTCCTCCACCGCTAAAATTATGGAGTTGTGCTATTTTTAATGGCAAGAACTGAAGTTTGTGAGTTATTTGATAAAAGGCATCGAGACCATGTTAGCTGGTAAACAAAAGTCTTTGCTAAAAACACTGTACAGGGATTTTTCTGAAAAGCCATGGGTTAATACTGTGCTGTCAACTTGGTTAGCTCCTTGCACATGTGACTATTGCGCACTTCATGTAGGGCCGGTTGGGATGGACATGTGCTGCAAATGTAAAAGACACATCAGATTTTGAAGTTATAGTGTAAAACAAAAAGTAAAATACCTAATTTTTTTTATATTATTTACATCTTGATTGTATATATTGGGTGAAGTAAAAAATATTAAATTAACTTTTCCTGTTGCTATTAACTTTTTTCATGCAGCTACTAGAAAAATTGAAGTTACTTCTGTGGCTTACATTTTTCTGTTGAACTGCACTGAGTTAGGATTCAGTATGAGTATGTTTATCCTTGAGAGGGTTTAGTGGACTGAAGCACTTAACATGCCTACTTATAAACAGGTTTTTTAAATTCCCAAGTTATCTGCCCCCCCCCCCCCCCCGCCCCCGTATTCGTTGCATTACGGAACAGTTTTGTTCAGTCTTCTGAGAAATAACCATTATGGAGCAAATAGCAAAATCTCAGCTAAAAATTTATTATTTTTTTTGAAGCCCCTAAAATACCTTAAATAATTTTGATTGAAAGGAGATGTTGATAATAGTAGCTACTCTGTATTGAAGGTACACTGTGTGCCAGGATGCATGTTTTCCAATACCTTATTTAGTCCTTTCAATGGTAAATATGTAGTAATTTTCATTAACTGTTTTACAAATGAGAAATCTGAGGTATAAGGAAATATAAATAATTGGTGCAAGAACACAGAGCTGATCCCAGATGTCTCCAGGATTTCAACGCTCCTAGGCTATAGAGTCTTCCTTATTTTATGAATTGGTGATTGAATCAACTGGAAAACAGTAGATTAGTGAGGTAGGTGTTTAGTTCTTTTTTTTTTTTTTGGTTTATTTATTTATTTATTTATTTGAGAGAGAGAATGAGATAGAACATGAGAGGGGGGAGGGTCAGAGGGAGAAGCAGACTCCCCGCCCGATGCGGGACTTGATCCCGGGACTCCAGGATCATGACCTGAGCCAAAGGCAGTCGCTTAACCAACTGAGCCACCCAGGCGCCCGAGGTAGGTGTTTAGTTCTCATCCTGTTTTTGTGTTTGTGACTGATAGGAAACAATCTAAATGCTCATTCACAGGAGATTGGGGGAATAAATCATTGATTCCTACAGTGGAATACTATTTAGTAGTTACAGTGAATGAAGAGAAGCTGCGTATATGCTCATGACTAAATCTTAAAACTGTAAAGATAAGGTAAAACAAATCGCTGAAGGATATACAGTATGACCATTTATATAGTTTAAAAACCTGTTGAACAACAATATTGTAAACAAAGGCAGTGTGTGTTTTAAGAATTTCAGATTTAATTCTCTGTGTATTGATTACGTGTGTTTATGAAGCTGCCTTCAGGTTAAAAGAAGTTAGTAAGGGGCACCTGGCTGCTTCAGTTGGAGGAGCATGCGACTCTTGATCTTGGAGTTGTGAGTTCGAGCCCCATGTTAGGTGTAGAGATTACTTAAATAAACTTAAAAAGAAAAAATAAGTAAAGTCTCTGTGAGATGAGCATTCTCACATGTTGGTCTTACTCTTTTAGAAACAAAAGCAGAACCAAAGTCCTGCCCTTTGTTTTGGTGCTCTGCACATCTTGCCTAGGTACTAGGTAGCTTTCCGGGGCAGACCAGTTTTCATTTAGCTTTGACTCCTA